TGGAGGCAGAGGCCCCCGCCGCGCCGCGCGGCCTCACCCAGCCCTCGCCGGGCCGGACAGCGCTGGGCCGGGCCTGCCGCGGCGGCGGCGACGGCGGGGCCGCGGCCTGTGCTGGCCGGGCCTGTACAGGCGGAGGGGCCTACAGCACGGGCTGGGCAGGGAGGCGGGGCCGCCGCCCGCACTCGTGCGAAGGCGACCCGCGGTCCGGCTGCGGGCCGCCAGCCGAGCCCCAGCCGCCCCGCTCCGTCGGCCCGGGCGCGGCCTGGCGGTGCTGGCGCGGCTGCTACGGAGGCTGCGGCCCGCGGGCCCGGTCCGGCCGTGCCCGGCTCCTCTCCCGGCCCGTGACATGGCGCTTCGGCCTCGGCCTCGCTACCTCGCCCGTGTCCGTGCGGGACCTGCCGCAGGTTCCCTGCCCGAGCTGTGTCGCTTCTGCTGCGGGCTCCCCCACACCGCCTGCCCTGCCCCGCAGGTGCCACGTTTTGACCCTTCTTAGCAACGCTTGTCTCTTGCCACTCTCTGAGTCGCCGATATCTTCTTGCCCCATACAAACCCGAGGAACAAATACCAATTTAGATTCTGCTGTTCTTCCTGCTCGTTCTGACCTGTTCCGGGCTCCTCCTCCTGTCTCCCAAACTTAGCATCACCAAAAATTTCTGCATTTAACTGTTGCATATAGTAACTCACAGTAGGAAGTGCAGGAGAAAATGTGGTCGACAGCAGTACCTGGGGGATTCAGTGGCCTGGTGGTATTTCCAGATCCTATTCTGGGATTAAGTGCTCTTTCTGAGACAATGTGTCTGCACTTATTACTTGCTACTGCGATGCAAATAATTGATAACGCTCAGGCTTTAGTAGAGCCATCCCTCGCGTGACTGTGAGTGTGCATTCTCTGTGGTCTGCACAATGGAGACCTGTTAGAGCCGAGTGAGGAGTGTTTGGAAGAAGAGCACTTTGTGCAGCCTAGGTTGAGTTAGTAGAAATAGCCTATAGAATGAAGCATAAAAACGAGCAAGGAAAGACAGCAATATGGCGTGACAGGAGCTATACCATACAAATTGGAGTTGTGATATTGTCTTTTATGTAGCTGTTAATCCACTACACAATTTTTATACGTTTGCTTTTATAAAAACATATGCTAGTGTTGCTAAACAGTGGAAATATTTTAGGATTTAATGTAAGGATGGTAAACATATGGCATCTTTTTAATACCACTGATTCATACTTTGTTTTGCTTAATTAATCTCTTGCGGTTTGGGACACAATGTAAGGACGACCTGGAAAACATAGATATTTATATTTCTTGGAATAATTGGAGTGGCCCTTACGCTTAGTGTATATCCCACAATGAAGCTCTCCTTTTTGCTCTACCAAGTAGCTTCTGCTTTTAATTTCTGTAGTTGCCTTGAAAGACTATACATATAAATATGGAGTTCTGAACACCTGGTTTTTTTCAGCTATTATTGCCTGTTACTCAGTCATTCAGTTTTTATGTGCATTTTACATTTGCAAACCCTCAGAAATTTCAAGCAGCTGAAAGGGCACCTTTTGGTGCTGTGGCACAAACCATGTTGTCTAGATATAATTCAACACAGTTAGCTGAAGGAGTGCAATATAGTGGTAAGATGTTCCAAAGAGAACAGAAGCTCTAACACGTCTTACCTGACATCCCTCTTTAAAGAGGGGATTAGCTTTACTGCTGTTTTTGTGCTAAGAGTTGAGCTGATGTATGCTGTATGAATTTTTTATCTGTTATTTTAATGAGAGTTTGTATTTTCCTTGGTCAACCTAAGTATTGTTAAACCCAAGTTTTAAAAATACTAGGGGGATAGGTACATTGTATTAGAAGCTCTTTTTTTATGATAAGGGAATATTTTTGAAAGGTAATATTATGAAGTAGCAATGATGAAGTTCCCTAAATAGACATAGGAGTGCTCATTATACAGAAGCAAAAAGTGAGAAATGCAGACATTGTGCCACATCCACCTGAGTGGTGTCAATATAGCTGTGTGAGGGATAGTATATTTCCATTAGAAAACTTCATAAGGCTTAACCATTAAGGTTTTAACAATTTCTGAAAAAATTAAACAAACCCTAATTCTAATGTGTGTTTCCAGTGAACCATTATGAGAGAGACTGAGAAATTCAAAAGATATTACAAATGAAATTCTTCTCTGGGGTGACTGATAAATAATCAGTGTAACCTGTTACAGGGTTTAACGCTTGTACTATGTTGCAGGTGAAAATACTTGAAACAATTATTAAGGAACTCCAGGGTGGAAAGAGTTCAAGAGCATGACAGTAGTGATGGAAATATAATCTGCCTTTGTCTTTTTCTTTTTGGGAAATGTCTCTTGGTAGTGAGTTAAAAAATTCTAGAGGTATATGCAGTGATGAAGAGATTCATAAAATTATGTATAATCTTTAATTATGCTTAATTTTTTTGGGATTCAGGAGTACTTGCTGGTGGGACAGTCCAGCAAAGAAAAATGATGTACTTAACATTTCACAGTTTGAAGACTTTAAATTTCACATTTTATATTTACATATTCTACATTTCACAACATAAAGACATTTTTAAGACGTGACACAATTTCTAGTGTAGCACTATGTACCTCTTCTAGCTATAAAGTGAGGGTGAGGAATGTATTTTTTGGGGGAAGTTGCACTGTTCAAAACGTAACCGTTAAGATGATTTTCAGTGATCTGATAATTTGATATTGTATGATTAAGAAAAGGTTTCTTTGTACTCTTTCTGCATTTCTTTGTCTTCTAATTAAGTCCTTTTGTTTGAAATTTACTTTCACTTCCTGTTCACTGAAATGAGATACAGTTATGAGTGGTGAATGTAAGTATTTCATATAGGGAAGGTTTAATAAAGCAAATATCTTGAGCTCTCTGTCCTTCTCTTACTCCTTGCTATCATGATATTTCAAAGATCTGCTCTGTCAGTGAGGGGAGCAGCATATAACTTTAGGTTCTAGATAGATTTTGGGATGTGGTTGTTATTTGGTATATCTCTTGAGATTTTAGTAGCAAGGTGTGAAGTTTGAGTCAGTTGGTGTCTGAAGACTTTAGGGTGGGGGAACACAGAAATAGTATAAAAGAGCTGATTAAGAATGAAAGAAATGTTCAGATTTGCTTTCTTTGGTCTTTAGCAGGGCTTTGGTTTTGGTGCCGCTGAAAGCTAGATCATAAATTTTAAAAGAGGGATTAAGTTAATAAATACTAAATAGGGGATTTACAGCATATGGATATTCATGGGTTGATGTTTCTAAGTTTGTCAGTGTATCTGGTCTTCTTTTATGGCAATGCTGATGTTTCAAATAAACTTGTTGCATACATGTTGCTGTTAGGCAGGTCTTTGCCAGTGTCCTGTTTAAGGAGAGATAGATGAATGAGGAAGATCAAATTTGATGATGCTTAAAGACTAAAGGTCAGTAAACCATAGAACTGACCTTTTGGTCATTCCTTTGGATGGAATATCCGTTTTTTAAGTAGGGACACTGAAATTTTCTTTTAACAGTTCCAAACATGTTTTTGTGACTAGGTTGTAGTTCATGTGTTCATAAATCATATTGTTTATTTCATCAAAAATGTTTTGTCAGTTAATTTAATTCTCGAAGACCACCTCAGATGATGGGTTTTGAGCCAGCGTGAACCAGAGTAGAAAGCAGATTGGTGTTCGAATTCAAACTCACCAGAAAGTTGTCAAGTTTATGTCTTCTTCCACTGATGCACTGTCTGGTATTGATTTGGTTTTTTGTCCAGTGATGTATTTAGACTGTGAACTCTGTAAAATCTGTTACTACAGAAGACCTGGGTCTCAGTTGTGGCTTTTGGTGCTGTAATATCCATAAATGTTGTCACCAGGTGTGCAGCTTCTTAGTGCTTAAAACATAGATACACAGCAACTTAGCATTAATTTTCAATTAGGTGCTTGTGACCTTTCAAGTTTCGTGTGCGAGGGGGATTGTATGAGAACGTGTTGTGCATCAGGGCTTTGAAGCAACCTTCATTGGTAGGTGGGTTGTAAGTGTCAAGGTATCAGTGAGCCCATTGGGTGCTCTGACATCACAACTCCAGTGAACAAAGAGAAGCATTTGAAACTTTAGTGCTGTTTTTGGGTACAGTAGTTACCAAAAGACATGGGCAAGGGATTTTTTTTTTAAGATGCCTGTGTTATTAGCTAATTTCATGTCAATGAAAGTGCAGTTTCCCTCTTTTGATGAAAAGTTTTTGTTGGTTATTGTTACTTACTGATTCTTTTGTAACAGTGCTGGGTCAGCTTTTCCCATTTGTTTTGACATTAAGGTGGTATTCATGCAAGTAGCTGCATTCCTTTTGTTTGCTTTTCTGACCGGAGTTTACTACTGCTACATGAAGAAATAAACATAATAAGGATTGTTTATTGAGTCTGTTACTGTTGTTATTACTAGTCCTTGCTCCCAGTCACTTGGTGTGGGTAAGCACAAGAGACCAGGTCTTGTATTTTGAATGTTGTGATATTTCCTACATAGTCCAGTCAATAACTAGATTTACAAAAGCTTTTAAAAGCACCAGGCAGATTCAGTGAATTGGAAATGACAGACACTATTCAGAAAGATACATCAATGAAATGGAAGGAATTCTGGTATTGCTATGGTATCTTCAGCAGTTTCAGGCTCACTGATGCAGGTGGGTCAGTAAAGTAGATGGGATCTTCAACATCTAGGATTTTGAGTTGCCCAAATAAGCAGTGTGAGCTTTTTTTATTTTTTTGTTAAGTTCCTTCAGATTTTTACCCCTCCTCATTCCCAATTCTTGGTTGTATATACAATTTGTGATCATCGCTGCTTGAGGTGGATTTTAGATAAGAAACATGCTGAGGCAGTTGGATATCTCCACTAAACTATTTTTCTTTGTTGCAATAAGAAAATAATACAACAGGAACTGATGTAATTCTTTCCCTCTTTTGCAGACAAACTAAGAATGAAAAACCTTAAAGATGTACAGTATTTCGTGTCCAGATGCTAGTCTTCCTCCCCTTCTAAGATTAGTTTGAAAGGATATGCTTATTTGAGATATCTGTTTCTTTCCTTAGCAAGTGATCATTCTGGCTATTTGCCTCTTAATTTTGGAAAGTCATGTAGAACTGTTAGAGATATAATGAAAAAGTAGTAAATGGGGAGAAGATAAACATGCATAGCGATCCTACTGCATGTTTATTTTGTACCAGTATTGGTTATGACATATCTAGCTTAATTAATTCAAAAACCTGAAGAAATTAATTCCTTAAGTTGGAAGACTTAGACTGTAAAAGAAAACAATGTTGGGAGTATGAAATTTTATGGTAAACATAATGTGGGGAAAATTCCATGTTTAACTGTTGTGCTTTCTAACACAGTTTATAATGTTGGATCAATCACTTAGTGATGAAAGATGTTGGTTGGTGGGTTACTTCTTTGTAATTGCTGCAGTGTTACTTCTGTAATTGTTGCTCTTATTTTTGCAGTGGAGGGGCTGATTGAAACAAATCAGTAGCAAAAGTGTAAGAGAAATGTACTTTATTTAAGGAACTGAGGAGAATGCTCTCTATAATTTTAGCGTTTCTTTATGACGAGCTCTTATTGTACCCCCACTCTTGTCTGTGGCTGTGCTGTGGCAGTCTCAGTACCTGCCCTGATGCTCCAGGAGCCAGCAGGTGCGTTTCACTGAGCCTGGCTGGGCCTTGCTCCTTTGCCTCATTTGTGAACATTCCTCACTGGTTCTGCATGCAAATCGCTTTTCATATTCTGTTGCTTCTGATTAACTACCCAGTGGGAAAGCACTTCTGAATTACTGTGCGATGGGAGTACACTTGGTATGTGTGTGTCTGCTGTGAGTGATGCTGAGGCACTGGCCATTAGGGTTCAAGTGGAGGACACAGCTGTGTTCCAGGGTAGTAATACATTCTTCCTTTGAGGGATTAGACTTATTTTTGGAAATAAGTGATCATGAAAAACTTTACTGTGCTTTTACTGGTACCTCTGGCTATTTTTCCTGTTATTCAAAGTGTTTCAAATGCAAAATAAACCATTCAAAATTCATACACTTGAGGCACTGTGTAAGGGAAGATTTTTTTTTTTTGCAGCGACTGTTTCTAACAGTCATCTGTGTAGCTAAAGAACTCTGTCTTTAATCGTCAATCCCACAGATTCTACACTTCATGTGGTAGTTAATCTAGAATTGTTAGAAATAATTTTCTAAAATAGCTTGGTACCATACAAATTATGCAAAGAATTGCACAGCGGTTTCTTGAACCAGGTAAAGCAAAATTTTGATTTCATGTGGTTTACTGAGACAGCCTCTCTATTTTAAAAATTGTAGAACAAATCCTTTAATCTTAGATTTTGTGGTGGTAGGACTTATATGCAACCTCCCTTCTTTTATATCTGTACAATGACTTCTCATTGCAAAATTTGGATAGAACTTATACTTGATCATAGACTCATTCTTGAGAAATAAAGCTTTCAATAAAATTCCTCTTGAATTTTCTCCACTAGCTGCTTGCGCGTCACTGGAGGTGGCTGTGGCCACTGCACGTACAGTTGCTTTGACACTTTACAGTGCTTTCAGTATTCTGAATGGCTGCGTGGTAGTCTTGCAAAACTGTAGGTAATCTTTTTTTTCATCACATTACTGAAGACAGAAGTTAATTTCTGTCAGCAGCAATTTTTGTAGCAAGAATTAACATTCTGCTCGAGGTTTGCTACTTAACATTGCTCTTAAGTTCAGTGGTCAGCCCTGCTTTGGTAACAGTGATATTTGAGTAACAATTATGTAAATGTTCTCCTATCCAGAAAAAATCTTGAGATATTTTACTGTAAATGTGTTCAAAGCCTCTGTCACTTTTTAATTTTGGATACAAAAGGTTTCTTACATTCTCACAATACACAGGGGTTCTATTGCAGTGTCACTTATGCTTGTTAGTGTCAGGGTTCACCATCATATGGCTGTTACTGTTGTGCTCATGTAATATAAATATGAAAAAACCTGTCATTACAGGAAAGTGCTTTAAAGCACTGTATTGGGGCATTTGTAATTATTTTCTTACTTGGAGCCACCGCACTTCTTGTGGTTTATGCTGTGTAGTATCAAATTGTTGTAACTGCTTGGCATAATAATAAAAACAGATTGTACAGCGCAGCATAGTACCTGTTCTGTCAGTTTACTGCTTCATTTGTTACCAGATTTGGAAATTATAACTTCAAAAACGGTGTTGAATGCTATAGATGCTAGTGGGTGTGGTGTATATATGCAGATGCATTGCATTGCTTGATAAAAGCAGTCCATTTTTTGGTGAGGGAGCTTTCAAAGTATGATGTACCTACTGCTTAAGTCTATTACCTGCTTGCTAAATGCACCTGATTTGACCAGACTTTCCTTCATGCTGCCTGTTTGGTCAGTAGGACCTTGTGTATTAGAGTGTTCTGTTGTGGTTACTGTGTAGAAATTGTAAAGATGCCATGCTCTGCAAAGACACAGTGCCATACCTGACCATTTTTTTCTTCTGAGCTACCCTATGGGAGAAGGAAGAAAGACTGTCACATTTAAGAAAAAACCCACCAAAAAACCAACTAAATCCCACAAGCGAAAAAAAAACCCACCGTAAGGAAACCCACTCAAAATAAAACATCATGCTAAACCTGTAGTTTTTGTAAACTTGTGAAATAAAATAAGTTGCGTAACTATTTATGTTATACAGGTTGAAATTGTAGCAGAGCTCTTATATGTATCTGGCTGAGATATTCCTGGTTGATTGCTAAAACAAAAATGTCCCATTGATGCATACAAGGAAGCATACTTAGTGTTCTATTAAGCGTGAATAAGTACTGGATTTATTTAGTTGCAGGTTGCTGGAATAGTGATCTATAAAGTAATTCAAGCACTGCAAACTTTAATTCTCACTTGTCATTTTCCTTTAATTAGTGTGCTCATTCTAGGAAAAAAATCCTTTTTAATCTGTGGGAGGAGGATGATAAAGGAATGAGTAGGAGATTATGCGTCCTTTTTCTGTTTCCAAAAGCTTGAACAGCTTTGTGTGCCAAACCCAGTCTCCCAGACTGTTCTGTATGCCTAAATAAGCCAGGGACTACTGCACAACTCCATTTTCCTTGCCTGTTTCACCATGTTTATCATAATTATCTCTCACCACTCTAAGTATATGATGAGGAAAAACTTCTGAAGAAATGTTTTGTTGACTTTTTTCCCTTCTGCTGTGTAGTTATACATTCTTATTAGTTGAATCTCTGCTGCAATAGTTGCGTTTCTACTGCATTGCAAATAAGGTCTAGAAAACAGGGAATCCTTTGTAAAATGTAGATACCATCTTTGAATATAGTTCCTTAGGGTAAACTTCCAGAAATGTACCTAAATTTCTTCAAAATTGAGGTTTTTAAGAGACTACTGGCCCTTTTGAAGCCAGAGCAGAATTCTCAGATTTTCATATAAAATTTCTGTAATTTTATTGAATGTATTGATAGGTGAAAACTAAGAGAGAGAATACCTTGCTGTATAAAAGTAGTAACTTCCTGTAAGTACTTGGTAGTTGCTCTTTGAACAGAAATACAGTGTTTCTTAGCAGTATGTAGTAGTAGTGTGGCAGGCTCCAGAACCTTGTCAGCTCCGTTGATGTTAGTGGAAGCTGACCTCACATTTTTACATTTAAAGGTGAGGAAAGATGCGTGCTCACAGTGCTACTAAGCACGTTCACTTGTTGATTTCCTACTCCTCTGATGTCCCACTCCCTTGGGTTGGTTAAGGTTTAAACAAATTTTAGAAAGGAGTTATACATACTCTGTAGAAGTGACAGCACTCTGATGCTGATAGCAGAGATTATATTACTTAGCATGGAATTTCTTTTAAAAATAATCAGGGAGTTGATTTTTAGTTATGCAGTGGGCCATGCTAAACCATAAGCAGATTTTTTTTTTAAATTTTTTTTTTACAATTCTGAAATACCTTAAGCATTTTTTATAAGACACAAAAGCCAAAACAGTTTGCTGGTTTCTTAGGTGTTTTACAATTTGTAGCTTATTTTCTTATGGTATTTTTCTTGTCTTTCTATAGGGCTGAAAGACACACAGGAGTCTTCATGGATATAGTTGATACATTTAGCCATTTAATTCCTACTGAACAATTAGATGATGCCCTATTTCTAGGATCCAACCTGGAGAATGAAGTCTGTGAGGATTTTAGTACAAGTCAAAATGTCTTAGAGGATTCGCTGAAGAACATGCTCAGCGATAAGGATCCTATGCTAGGATCTGCAAGTGCCCAGTTCTGTTTGCCTGTTTTGGATAGCAATGGTCCCAATTTCCAGATGCCTTGTTCTACAGGTAAATCTTACAATTTTTTAAGATTACAATTTAAACAATTTAAAATACAGCTATACTCTACTTCTGACCTTTTTTTGTAATGTAGAAATAATAAGTTGGGATCTCTGTCTCCTTCCTGCCCTTTTTGATGCGCTGCTTACATGCTTGGCATGTAAACTGAGCAGTTCTTTTTAATTTTGTAGTGTAACAATAGAGGAGGGCTCCTGATGTGGATCACAAGTAACCTAGGCTTTGAGTGTGTGTAAGTTATTCCCAGTGAAAACTGTGATTTGTTTAGTGTAAGTACTGTACCTGATCACTGAAGTTACTAGTTGTCTTGAAAAATACCATATTTTTGGATTAGCAGTAGGAACATGAGACTTGTACAAATTACTACTCTAACCTCAGGATTATTCTGTTGGTGCTAGGCTGCCTGGTACTCAGCTGATTCAGGTGTTTTGCTTTGGTTGGCTTCAAAACCCTGGAGAGATAATACAATTTTGTTTGGAATACCTGATTTAGAACCAAAATAGAGTGAAGTTTTAAATAAAAATAATCTTAGGAGTTGTGGAGTAGTTTTGGAAGCTCAAAATACCAAAAAGGGATGATAAAAGGGATGATCCAATCACTAAAATTATTTATATTTATGAATAGTTGGAATAATTATACTGAATTTGGTGTAAGAGACAAAAATATAGTCTATTCTTAGTAATGTTCTTTATTTGATTGGAAGTTTAAAAAAATTATTCGTTAGGTTCATTACTGAGAAGTGTTATAGATTAATGCAGTTAACTGATTATATCAACATTTAACTTTTTATCTAGCTAGTAATAGGTAAATTCTGACCTTCACTAAATTAAGTGGTATTACAGCATGGAAAAGTGTAAATCAAAGATTATATTGATTAAGTAATGAAAAAGTTAACTACAAAGCTAAAACAAGGTACTTGATTCTTTTACTACTTCAGTAGAACATTCTTGAGGCCATTCTTAGTGCTTTTGTTTACCCTTACTGTAGTCTCTGTTCTTACACTTTCTTGTCTGTAACCCACCAAACAAAATTGTATCCCTTTTAATGTGCATAGGACTGTACCATGTACACGACCAAATCAAATTCCACCAAAGCCAGTGATGCACATTCTTGTGCTGTACTGCATCCTGTGCATCCTCCAGTAAACCTGTAGTCCATTTAAAATGCTGGATTAATTAATAGGGTGTAACTGGATATTTTGGAAGTTACGGAGAAACTTTTGGGGGCTTTTTGGGATATATTTCTCCTGAAAGTGATCAGTAGTCAATAATTAATACTATTACTATTTAAATCATCACAATTAATTTTTAAGGTCCATAAAAAGTAAGTGAGCTAATGCATTTACTTGGGGGATACTATTCCAGGCTGTCTGCAGACTAAGGGAATCAAAACTGATTTGATTTATGCTGAGTTTGTGAATTTAATGTTTTGTTTTTAAATCTGAAAGCAACAAGAACAGAGCCACATTTCAGGAAATAAACTAAACCAAGAAATTTGGAATTAATGTAGGTGTCCAAAAAGACATGAACTGTTCTTGCTGTTGTTCTTTGTAGGTCTCGGTAACAACTGTCCTTATTCTGATATGATAGGACTGCAGTACATACTTATAATTTTTTAGTTAAGAATAACGGTTATGACTTTGGCATAAACTTTCTTTACTTGTCTTTCTTCAGAGTTCATATAGTTTGTGATTTATCTGATTTGTCTGATACTGTTGATCTAACATGGCTGATGTAGTCTGCTGGTAAGAATGCTGTCATGCAAAATGATGGTACCCTTAAGAATTAACCCACACAAAACCTGTTTTTTCCAGACAGGTTAGATGGAAGCTCACCAATTTATTTAAAACTCTCACTCTCAATTTATTTATAACTCTCACCACAAAACTTACCTTACTGTATTTTTAGAACTACAACACTGATGGCATTTCTTACACTCTTGATTTCATTCCTGAAGAAAAGAGTTAATTTTTCCCAGAGGCACAGATTTATTTACCACAATTTATTCTAGACCTTCAAACAATACTTTGCACAACTCATACCTAGACTATTAAACAGTTTAAGAATAGGAGTAAACTACTCAGGGAAATTAATTCACAGGGCCAGCAGAGGACAGATTTATCATGCTTGCTGCTTCTTGAATAACTGGAATGTACTCTGCTTTGTAGAGTTGTTAAAGTGGTGAAGATTTCATGCTCCAGAGTATTTGATTGCTGTGAGCAAGCTGAAGAGATAAAGGTAATAATAATTGGACTGAAGAGGTGTTTTAGCTAAAATGGTATTAGGTCTTCTTGATAAAGTGGAGGAGCAGAAGGCATGGCTCACTAATACTTCTTTGAAAGCAGGTTTGAGCAGAGTTCAAGAGTATTTGGAAACCTGTGCACAAACAAGATACTATCTTTGTATGCCTTCAACCCAGACTGTTAACTGTGAAATTTCTTAAGTGAACATGAGTATATGTGAGTAGCAGAAGCCCTGAGAAAGGATTGTTTCAGGCCTACTTCTTACCCACATACCTGATTTCTCAGGATTGTGACAACATTTTCTCTGCTTTATTTCTGAGATCAGGTATTTTTGTCGAAGAACTCCACTCTTGATCTTAAGTTGGTTTTGAGTGTGGGTTTGTTTTTTGCTCTGTTTCTTACTGTTACACTGACATTAGTTTTTGTTGGGAGTTTTTACAGACCTAATCCAAAGTTATTCATCAACATGTCTTGCTCAGCTTTAGGGTTTATATTGCATCATGGACTAAGCTTTTTGTTAATACTAAGATCTTTTTACAGTTATCTGACTGTATGTGATGGACACTTGTAGCAATTGATTGTATGTCTTTTAAACAGTTCAAGTACATGTCTATAAGACAGAAACACATAGATTTTTGTGAGTTGAAGTTCAGTTTCCAGTCAATGCTTGTTAGAGGCATCTATCTAAAAAATGCAGGTTTTGTAATTTGAATTATAAATGTGTCTCTTGGGGAGAACAGTAACAAAATCATAGAATGGTTTGGATTGGAAGAGAAATAGAATGTTTTGGGTTGGAAGAAAAAGGTTGTCTAGTCCAGCCCTCCTGCAATGAGCAGGGACATATTCAACTAGATCAGGTTGCTCAGAACTGTGTCCAGCCTGACCTTGAAGGTTTCCAGGGATGAGGCATCTACCACCTGTCTGGGGAACCTGTTCCAGTGTTTCACCACCCTCATAATAAAAAAAGTTCTTCCTTATATCCAGTCTGAATCTACCCTCTTTTAGTTGAAAACCACTACCCCTTGTCCTATCACTACAGGCCATACTAAAAAGCCTGTCCCCATTTTTCTTAATAAGCCCCTTTTAAGTATTGAAAGGCCACAATAAGGTGTCCCCCTGTTCTCCATGCTGAATAACCCCAACTCTTTCAGCCTTTTTTCAAAGGACAGATACTCCAGCCTTGCATTCATTTTTGCTGCCTCCTCATGGACTTCAACGGGTCCATGTTTGTCTTGTACCGAGCATTTCAGTCAGCAGTACTGGTATATGACAGATAACAAGGAATATGACAATGCATGTTTGTTGTCTGTCTATTTGTAGGAAGAACTATATCACAACCAATAAAAATAATCTCATGTTTGTCTTGGCCTGAATCCAGATTGTTCTGGATCTAAGTAGTTTCCTCAGTTAGGTGACATTATTGGTCAGATAAAGACCAACAAAAGCCAAAGACAGAGTTGACCAAACTTGCTGAGCTTGCTCTGTAATTGCCACTGAGTAATAGAATGGGATTGTCTTTTTCAGATCTGATTGAATAATTACATATTTAGAGAAGACAGGATTCTTTGCAGGTGATCCTGGTAATGGCTTTGAGTAGAGGTAGAAGTAACTTTTTATGACCCTCTCAGAAGCTGGATAGAATAGGGGTCAAATTAACAGAGGTTATGCTGAAATCCTTTTAGAATGTGTTTGCAAAGAGTGACTGCTAAACTGCAAAGATGTAGTTAAGTTGCTGCTATATGGAGTTAGACTGAACAGGTTGCTGCTCTTATGGCACGGTTAGGAAGTTCTCTGTTATTTTTGTGAATCAAGGTACAATCCACAGGTTTTACTCACTGCAGCTCGTAGGAACTTAGCAGTAATGGAGGCCATTTCCTGTCCTGAAGTAGGTATTAGCAGAAAAACCCCTTGTTGATACTAGAAACTGATATAATTGTTCTCCTTGACAGTTAAAGGACAGAATTTGGCAAAATGAGACTTTTGAGAAACAAATGAAATCCAAGTTCTTGAAGCAATCAGAAGGGTCTCAAATCGTATTTTAGGTACCTCTCTGCTTCTTTTTATCAATTTAATCAGGTGTCTGTTCCTCCAAGCTCTGAATGACCAACATAGGAAAGCAGACTACATAGAACAGCTCTTGGCCATCTTAAATGTTTTGGTGGTGTGAGTGGATAGGGAAGTGTGGGTTTGGGGTTGTTTTGTTGTTTTTTCTTTCACTCTTTCTGAGCAATTCCTTGATGAGAAGTAGAAACTCTGAAGTTTAGATATGACATAACTCTTGAGAGCAACACATTTTTTTCAACTTTGTATGGTACCCTAGTGATGGGTTTTCTGTTTTGTTCTGTTCTTGCTGGAAGCTTAGCCACCTGTGAGCATAGCAGGTCAAAGTGGTCACATGTCAGTGAGCTAAATAATCAGCATTCTTACCAAATTGGTACTTCTCAGCTATCACGAGTTCTGCAGCTTTTCAGGATGTCATTTACTGGGGCAGTTTGATTTATTATACACATAATACAGGGACTGGAATTTTAATTGCCTATCATCTGGAGACATTTCTGGATTTCATATTAAAATAAAGCTTTTAACCAATTTAGTTTATGGATATGTTTATAAAATCAGGTATTTATCATAAATGGTGAAGACTGAACCTGTAAGAATGTACAAAGTGTGTTAGGGACATCTTTTTATTTGCCCTTTTTTTCCTGTCCCTCTGGATTGCTGCTGGGAAAGTGTTTCTCCCAAGTGTGGTCTGCTCTTTCTAGTTCTAGCCTGTGTTTTCATGAGTACAGTTGAAAGCAGTGTTACCTCTGCTAAAATCATGATCACCTGCTGAATCTTTGGGGCCAAACCAGTTGTTCTGACTAGAAATACTTCTTTAGCTAGTGTGCTGTCTGACTGTTAGGCATTTCAGGCTCTTTTCAGTAAAACCAAAGGTACTTGTATTTTTCCTCCTGCATATGAAGTAATTTTGAACATAATCTTCAGATTCCAGCCCAAAATTGGGTATACAGTTGTTTCTCTCAGTTTTCTTACCTTTTTATGCCTTCCTTCCTTCAAGCTGTCCATGTGAATAATTCCACAGTGTCTTGTGGCAAAGGTAGTAACTTTCCTGTATAAAATTTAAATTTTCTGTATTGGTATTGAGAACTTTGAGAATGTTTATTTTGCATGCTTTTCTATTTGTAGGTGGAAAACCACCTGTTTCCCCCATTTTAGGTCCTTCTTTAGATAAGTTCTCTCATTTGTAAATGCATGAAGACTCCCTTCTTAATAAAATGATTTAGTTTAAAGTACTTGATTTGGTGCTTTTACTTGGTGTTTTTACTTTATTGTTGAAATTTGTACTTCACTGCTCTTTATTTCCAAAGTAATAGGCTTATGTGGCTAAAGAACTACAAATCAGTAGGCTTGTGATGTAGCTCCATCTTTTTATTAAAATGAATATACAGTCTTCTGTCAAGATACATGCTTATTAAGTTTATTAATCCTAGTTGATTTTCATATGTCTTTTTTATAAAGACAGGAAAAATACCTCTTTACAATGTAGAGATTAATGGACAATGGGAGCAAATATTTAGTTAGTATTTTATACGGAACTTTGATTCGTTTCTTGCACTGGGCAGTCAGTACAAGGTCCGTACAGGTTAACAGGTTACAGTTCAACAGGTTACAGGCAAACTCTTGTAAAAGAGTTAGGATTTCATGTTTCTTTATGTAAGTTATGTCATCAGTCAACTAATTTTTCTTGATAATAAACTTTTTCATAGAAAAGAGTATTTTTAATTCTGTTTCTTGAACATATGCATCACAAATGTCAGTAGGAAAAAGGTTTTTATATAAAATATACCATCTTCATTTACAGTCTTGAGACGTAGTGATATTTTCAGTATCTACATATGTTTCATTTCTTTGCTGGAGTTTATTAGCTCTTCTGAAGACTTGCCTGGACAACTGTTAGTTGCTGTTTTAGACTGTAACTGTTTTTTTTTTTCATTGAAGCATAATGTTAGGTTATTATGTTTATATTCACATATAAAACAGTAGAAATTTTAAAATGTTCAACCATTTCCATATAATTTGTGACGCCTGTATGGAATCTGCTGTGAACTTGCACATCCCTGCTGTTAGTATGATTCATCTGGATATAGCATTTTACAACAATGCAAAGCAGAAACAGTGATATTCTGTTCCGTGTGGTTACCTAAGGAAAAGAAGTCCAGTGCTAACATCTACAAAAAAGAAATTTATTTCTACAGTTGAGATTTACCTTGATCAGTGTGTCAAAACTTTGAATATTTTTGTCTTAGTTGTGGCTGAAAATAATTAAGGGAATATTTATGTTAATAAAAATAAAGATTTATAAACGTCAAAATTTTTGAGGATGTTTTTAGGGGTGTTTTCTTCTCCTTACCTCCTCTTTCTCCTGAAAGTAAGGCTTGTTTTTCCTCAGTTTTACATTACTAAAGAATTAAAAAATGATTATGCTTTTGTTTTAGCACATGGAAAGTATTACTTTTAATTTGCAAGTAAACTATTTTTATTGTATGTTATTCTGTTATTGTATAACATATATAAAAATGAGTGAATAGTACAGCACAGTAGTTTGGAAATTTAGAACCTTCACATAGAGAGACTCAAAATAGTAAGTTGAAGGTCAGTGGTGCCTTTTCCATTGCATGGAAAATTCCACTAAATGTGATTCGTATTTTTCTTATTTTCAGTCCATTCAGTTGTACGTTGGTGTACAACTTTCCCTATTCAGATATGTTTTTCCTTTATTTTTTCTTTTTTATTCTTCTGATTTCTATATTTATTACTGAGATAATCTTTAGATATTTGTTACTGAGATCATCTCTATCTTTTTTTAAGTTCTTTCCAGTTTTGCTTTTGTTGGTTTACTTTTCCCAGTGCTGTTTCTCTACCTCCACTTCTCTTTCATAATTTACTTTCCTGGTCTCCTCTGTATCTATTGCTGTTTTCTGTCACTTCTCTTCCCAGCAGGGTCTGTGTCGAATGTTCCTCATCCGGGGGCCTCATGAGGCTGTCTGTACTAGCTGAGTTGTAGCTCAGGTGGTTTGAAATTAGCAGGATTCTGTGTTTCAAATTCCTCTGTAAAATTAAAGCTACTGCACAGAGTCTTGTAAGTATGAAAATGCTTTAATTCTAATATTTCAGACTGTCTGTCAATGGTGGACTGAATTGTCCCTTCTGTTATTAATAAAGGAGGGCGTATAAATTCAGTAACTTGAGCAAGAGCATTGTAAAACCTGAGGCTCTAATGTCAGCCTTGAAATATGCTGCAAAACTGTTTTAGAAGCTGTCTGAATAGTTTTTATTTTTTATGTTGTCTTCAGTAACTTAGTAGTTTGTTTCTACACAGAAGAAACAAAATTGAATCCAAGTCTCCTTTGTCACAGTCTGTTCCTGAAAACCGGTTTCATGTTTTGTAGGAACATCATGAGAAAACTAATACCAAAGTGAGGACCTGTTGGGAGGACATAGTCTTTGGAAACATAAGAATGGGCAGCTGGAGTTAGGGTGAGGGTCCATCTCGTTCAGTTTACCATCTTGGACAGTAGCCAGTATTAGATATGTAGGGAAAAATAAAGTCTAATGGGGCAGTTAAAATGCCATCTTTTTGCCAGTGTGTCCTTCCCAGTATGTAGCTTATAGCAAATAAGCGATTAGGGAACACTGCTGAGTGGAGTAAGCCCAACATTATCAGTCCCCTGCAGCTTGTGTGTTATATCTGTGTATGTCTGTACACATGCACAGACGTAAAGGAGGCTCTCGATTGGAAAGCGGAAGCTCCCAGTAGTTTCTGCAAACACGCTTTTCCTTGTAACTGGTGTGTACAGTTCAGTGCCTAAAAATAATGGTTAAAATAAAATGAATGACGATGAGTTGTCAGCTTAAGAAACTTCTGGCTTTCAGCTCCTGGCAGCCGTCTAATTACGGAGATCCAGAGTGCTGATTGCTGGGTGCCAAGGTCAGCCTTCCTTAAGAGGCTGTTAAAAAACTTCCTAATATTTGAACTTTTGACAGGTTGCTTGGTTGCTTTACTTTTTTATTTCTTCATGGCAAGTGATTTTAGATTGAATTACAGTCTTGATCAACTTAGTTATTCATCACTGTTTGGCTTTAGCAGTGTTTTGCAGCTTCCAGTTTTGTTATTTTCAAAGTATGTAAAGCCTTCACTAGAGCGTTGTTTTTTTAAGTTGCAGTAACATTAGACTTGAAAAGAGAAGGAATTGACAGACTTTCTGAGATAAATTAAACCTTTGAATTTTTAGACTAACTTCTTGCTTATTTTGACTTCTGTGGCGGGGGTATTAATTTATATCAGTTTTAAGTTAGCAATTGTTAAAATTTTTTAGATATATCTCTCCTATGAGTTTATCTTAAAAATACTTCTAGGTAGGTGTCTGAATAGTAAAAAAAGGCTTATTTGGTTGACTGGAGTCTGTGTTGTACTTGTCAGACCATCCTACATGTTTTATAGAATCACTTGGGTGTTTGGCTTGATCTCACAAACTTTGCATCCCACGAGGACCAGGATTCATTAATCACACATAGGATCTTGGGACAGGAGAGGTTACCACTGCAGAACCAAACTTTAAGCAAGTGAGGAGAATGGCTCCTACAGTGGCCTGACTGCTTCTTAAGAAACCTGTTTTCAGGAGCAACTTCTGGGATCCTTCTCAGGTTAGTGGAAGATAGGAATTCACTGAAGACAATGTTCTCTGTCTCTCCTGGGAGACTAGGTGCTTGCTGCACTTAATGCTCTTCCAAAAAGGCATTGCAGATCCAGATATGTGATGTGGTTGGGACTTAAAACTTTTAAAATTGTATCCTATGAGAAAACTGTGATTTTAAACTATGCACTCCTGGATCAGCTCTTTCTGCTGTTTACCTTTCTTCACTTTTTCTTAGGTGGGAAGGGACAGTGAGGGACAGCTGATCCTCTAAGACTGGGGACCTTCCTGTGGCAAAAAAAAAAAACCAAAAATGTGAGTCCACAAAAAAGCTATAAGGACTGTCTACAGAAATTTTAAGCTTTGGGTGATAGCTTCTTCTGCACTGAATCTGCCTCACATGGGAATTTTCTGTCCAGCATTTCTTCATTTCCCCCCCCTTTTGTTTGTTTTTCGGTGACCACTTTATTTATTTTTCCCTGTTTTGCTCAGCATTACAGCAGCAACATTTTTTGATAATTTTAAGTTTTAGGCTCTTTCTTGTTTGTTTGTTTTTTCCAGTGATTAGCCTGGATGATACTATGGATGAAGAAGGAGTTAAAGAGAGTGGTAATGACACCCTTGATGATGATGAGCTTGTTTTACCTCATAGGAATTTGAGGAGTCGTGCTGAAGAAACATCAGTCACATCACCGAGGAAATCACCACGCTTAATGGCACAAGGTGATCACAGATTATATGTTTGCATGTTTGAAGTAAATTAAATCTTTACAATCCCACCCCCCAACATTTATAAATGTAAAGTAAAGCTTTGCTATTTGGTTGTGTGAACTCAAATACAGACACTTCCCCTTTCATGCACTGCAGCTAAAAGTTGGCATCCATAGGGTATGACTCTTTAAAAAATTCTTAAAAATTCTTCTTTAAAAAATACTTAATGTCTTCCTTGTACCTTGTGGTCCTTAAACTAATTTTTGAGACTTTGATGCTTTTACCTGCATCAAATAGCACTGTGGTTCCACACCAACAAAAGCATGGTAGAGTAGCAAATCCACATTGTAATATTATGCTAACATGTCTCTATTTTCAATTAAAATTTTAATTCTATTTATTTTTATTTGGGTATTTTCTCTTTGCTTTAAATTCGGTTATGGTAATTGCAGTTATAAACTCTTTCATCAAAATATCTCAATATACTTAATGAATATTAAAATAAAATATTTAAATTCTTTGTGGTAGCTAATTGGTTATAGTTAGGGCTTTTCTAACTTGTTGAACTAGTGGAGTTATTTACCACTCTGCTTTTATCCCCGATAGAGCAGGTTGAGTTAAAAAGATAAAATTACTCAATATGAAGATCAAAATTTAAATAAGAACCTGTGGTACAAAGCTGGTGAATATACATTTTAAAAAGGCACTAAAATGGTTTCTTGTTTAGGAAATGTAAGAGATGTCATCAAGTGAGAGTGTGACTGGATCTTGGATTCATAGACTGTGTTCTCTAAAAACTTTTTAAACTTCATAGTTATACTTCTAATCACAATAGAACTTGTGCAAATTTTGTTTGAGGCAGAAAAGATTGAGTGGTAGAAAAGTGCAGTTAGTTTTGATTGGTTTTTTTATCATATATTTTGTTTTATATATACTACTCAGAACTTTCATAGCCTTTGGAATAACGAGATTTTACATCCAAAATTGAAATGCAAGTATTTTGAGTTAGTGGGTTGTTTTTGAAGTTTAGTAAACAACTAAGTTTTAAGTTCTCTTTGTGTCCAGTAACCTAAATCGGGGTAAATCAGTTCTATTCTAGGTAAATCTTGTGTTTGCAAAGAGAAGAAAGATGAATAGCTAAGACACTTTCCTTTTTCCCTTCCTAGAATCAGTACGGAGTCTCCGACAGAGCACCCTGGCCAAGCGTTCGAATGTTGCTCCTCCTGTTAGTACCAAGAAATCGTCTGTAAAAGGTGGATCTACTCCAAAAAGTGGACAGAAACGAGAGAGAAGTCCAGTTAAAGAGACAGATGTTGCTGCACCCTCGAAAGTAGAGCAGCCTAAAGAGGTTAGGCGTAGTACAAGACGATTAGGACAGATAGAAGGAACAGCGGCAGTAACAGCATCCCAAAGTAATACAAAATGTCTGCCTGGTCCTGAAGATGTGAATGAAGTAAAGTCCGAAACCCTTGATCAGGCAAAAGTCCAGGAAACATCCCAAGAGTTAAGTTGTGCTAATTTTACAGGAGCCTGTTCTCCTTCTGGAGAAACAAAGGAAATAGCAGAGGCTGCAACAAAGACTGAATCTGGGAATGATGAGCCAGTTTGTTCAGTATCTGCAGATACTGAAATGACTCCAGTTAAAAATGAGTCAAATGATGTGGTTGATTCAATGGACTTGGGAAATTCTTCAGAAGAAAAAGCTGATGATAATAAAGCAGAGGAATCAGAGAAGAAAACAGAAGAGCATGATGAAATTGGAGTAACTGGAAAAGCTAATGATCCATCTAGTACTTGTGTGAATCCAAATGAAATTTGTGACACCATTTCAGATTTGTCTAGCTCTATAAAAGAGGGGGTTGATTGTAGTTTAGGTTCCCACAATGTGGAAGTTCTTGATGAAAATACACTGTCAGTAAAGAAATGTGTAACAGAAACTGGAGATGATGACAAGGGAGTGGAGAAAACTGTAACTCCATCTGAGAAGCTATTGGACAGTACAGAGTTTGATAATAAAGACTTAAAAAGCAAAGAGTTGACTTCTGCCGACCCAGGAAGTAGCATTTTAGAAAGCAGTGTTCTTGACCAAACAAACCAAAACGTACAGGATCAGATCAGCAGTATTAAAGTAGAAGGCCCAGATGCATTAAAATTTCAGGATGATGAGAAACAAATTAGCATTCCAACAAAATGTGAAAAGAACATTAGACCCCGGCATAGTAAATCTGTAATACAGAATAAACAAAATCTGACTGCAGACACTCGGCAGAAATCGGGTACAGTGCAACAAGAAGTGATGCGTTCAAGAACGCGAGCTGGTGTTACTGCTTCGGGTCTTCACAGTCCATCTTCAGCAGGTCTGAAGCGGAATGCAGATGAGCAAGAGAGTCATCAGCATCCGAATAACCCACTTAAAATTAGGAAGAAACAATCTGATCTGAGTTTGAAAGCAAAGAGCTGTGTTTCAGGAATGACCATAAAAAAGCAGAGTAATACGTTGCTGAAGAAAATACCCCGAGTCCAGGCTTCTGGGCAAGCACAGAAGTCATCAGTTCAAAGAGCAAGTGAGAAATCTCCTACTCTTCAAAGCTGTCCTAAAGATACCCACCACTCTGTGCATTCGTTGTCAGGGCATGTTTCAAGTCTTGGTCAGAAGCAAGCCCACGGGCAGAAACACCAGCTTGCAACTGGGCTAAAAACAAATAGCTCCACAAAGGAAGAGACAGAGACGAAAGATCACCCTGTTGTAGAACATCTGAAAGAGGATGATAAAGAAAAAAACAAATCAAAAAGAAATGATAAGACTCTCCAACCTCGCCAGAGAAGAAGTAGCAAAAGTCTTTCGCTTGATGAACCTCCATTGTTCATTCCAGATAACATTTCAACTGTTAGAAGGGAAGGCTTGGAACATACCTCTGCTAGTGAAAGTAAACATGTTTGGGTGCCCAGCAAGCAGTGTGGCTTTTGCAAAAAGCCACATGGCAACAGGTGTGTGTGGCTTTGTGTCTTAGGAAATTATTATTGGTCTCGAAAGATAATTTTTTTTTCCTCTCCCACCAAATGTTTCGTGCTGCTGGTGCCAAAACAAAAAATCATAGCCTTGTAATGGAAACCTGTGTGTCATACTGTCAGTTAATTTCCTTTGCACTAATACACTTTTTTTTTAGTGTTTTAGATAGAGCATTAGAAACTGGTTTAGCAAGAAGTTTGAATATAAAAGTTTTATTATATGAATACATTTTTTGATAAATGTATAATTCTGCTATGCTGTTAAATTATGCGCTTTAAACTTGACTTTTTTTCGTAGAAAGGAAATGAGACTAAGATATCTATGTTCCAGATTGTAATTTCCTTCTTTCCAGAGACCTCTTAAGTTGAAGGATCACCATCAAACAAAAAAAAAATCAAATAGTTGTTTACATGTGATTTTTGTCTGGTACAAGTACAATTCTAATACCTAGAGATTCGGAGGGTTTTTTTTCAATTTATGTAATCATTGCTGTGAGGCTTTCATGTAATAGTAATTAAGTAGTTGGCAGGGGGTGGGGACAGGAGAAGGAAGAACATCAGTCTCAAAAAAAACCCCATAAAACATCCATGTGGGCATATCTGAAATTGCCTTTAAACCTAACAATGAGGGAGTTTTCATAGTTGCAGTTGTACCTGCTAGCTTACGTTTGTTTTTTTAATATCAAATTGAAGATGATTCTGATTAGTCCTTTGCTTATGTGAAAGTTTTAATAGTAATTTTCAGTGATTGTGCTTTAGAACTCCCTACATCACACTGAAATATGGAACAATTACCTTTGGTACCTGAGGGTTTTTCTTAGCATTCATAGTATTTAAGAAGAGCCCTTGTTAGCTTTGAGTTACTATATCATATTTGATAAACAAACACCTTAAAATTCATTTGCTGTGCAACTATAATGACCACATCAATGTGGCCTATGAAAAGAATTAGCAGTAGGTTTGCTGGATATTTTTAAAGCAAAATATATATATTTAAGATTTAAACTTCTTGATAGCTGTTAAAAACTTAGCTTTGAGTTGAACTTGTCCTGCATTCTTTCTATATTTACTAATATTTTAAGCATTCTATGGGTTTTCTTTTTTGAATGTCTTGTTGGAGTTCAGAAAGTCTTGATTTTTATTACTAAATGGATCTAACTGGTATGGGAAGATGCGGCAGTAACTCCGAACTAAATCCACTTATTTTAGTTTATGAAGTCAAAGTCATGTTACAGAAGATACACATATATGCATTGATACAGTATTAAATGCAATTAACCCAATTTTGCATTTCCAACTCTTAGTGCTGCCAGAATTGTGTAGTGGATGAATCACCAGCTGAGGTTGGATTGAGAAAGCCCATGAGTTGCCACAGATGGTGGTTATGGGTATCCTCATTTTTGTGAAGTCAGTCTTAAGTGTTTTAGGTTTTTTGTATTGTAATTGTGTTATTTTATGTGCTTTCATTGCAAAACGACACAACTGACCCTTTCAGCAGAAGATCAGATTTGCTAAATCTGTAGAAAGATATTTAGTACATAAACACAGAATTTTTGTGTATAGAATGTGACTGAGACAACGTGAGGGAGCTTGTGGTATTGAGCCCTGTGCCTAATAGCAGAAGATTTAAGACTGTCAGTGCAGCACATTTATCGTCACTAGTCTTAAGTACTGAAGTTTTAATTTACTCAAATTACTTTTTTTTTGTAGTTGTATGCTACAAATAACTGAAACCTTTCAGATTCACTTGCTATCATTAAGATACAAGAGGAAGCAAAACTTTTATCTCAAGTGCCTTGTCATTTTGTCCTTGTTTAATTACTGATGGAAGAATAAGAAAACACTTCCAGTGCACTGCAAAAGAGAAGAAGTGTAAGATGATAAGTTTCAGTTCCCTCTCTTGAAAAACCATCAAAACTATCAAAATTTACTCTAGGGAAAGGTTTTTTTCATTTACTTTTTGGATTACTTTTCAAGCAGTTTTTGTTTCCCTTTTGAAACATCTTACCTAGCCTCTTTCCCTTTTTTCTCTGTTCATTGTGTAAGGGAAGATGAGAAAGTGTGAGACACAAATACTGTCAAACGACTGTAGGTTCAACAAATATCAAGGGCAGAGCGAAGGTCTGAAAAAACATATGTAGTTTTATCCTGATCTAATGTTATTTCAACTTTAAAAATTTTTACCAATTTGGTAGTACAAATTGCTTGTAGAAAAAGAAGTTGAACTGAAGTTGCAGCCCCAAGTTGAGAAATAATGTGCAAGGAGCTTTGCAGTATGTCATGTTAACGGAGCATGTTAAAAAATTCAGGGTGCGGAATAGTAGTCACTTGAATCTTTTTGTATTGCCTGTAATAAATGCAGAGCCACTAACTTGTTGTTACTGTAGTACCAAGCTTGGAAAATTGATTCAGGTTGAAGGTAATGTCTGGAGATCGTGTCACCATGTGTACAGATTTTTTTTCTTTGTGTACAGATTTCCAAAAGGACCACGCTTACGTAGACCTTATATGGCCCCAGAGTAATCCTACTGTGCCTGCTGGAAGCACAGTAGAAGGATGGTACTTTTATGTTGTTTTACTTCAGATCAGCACCTGAAAGTTGGAGTCATTTATATTTTTAGGAATACATACAATAATTTGTTGACCACATGCAAAGTGAAAATGTGCTTCCCTTGCCCTGCAGATACAATGGATTTGGCTGGGACAGGAGGAATCCCATTTTACAGACATTCAAATTGCATAATCAGAAAAGTTCACAAGTTATAACGTGTCTTGCTTTGTAAGAGACAATGCCTGTTTTCTTTCTGTTAATAGATCATCATTCTTTGGCTCTTGGACTTTGAACAATGACTATTCATACTCTGTTTTCCACTTGTCTTTGAGTTGGTAGCTGTAACCAGCATAGCTGTGTTGTATCTATGTTTTCATTACACAGAGAGTGAGTTGTCAATGTTTGGCTTTAGGACTAATTCTTTCAGTCTGTTTGCTTGATGTGTTGTGACAATTTCCATTCAGAGATATACATTTTCTACATAACTAAAAGGAATTGGTTTTTTGTATGAAAACTAAACCTTGTGTTTCTGGGCAAGTCAGATAATGATGATTTAACTTTTTGTAAACTTCAGCACATCTGAAAGGCGTTTTTTTCGGTGAAAGGTTTGAATTGTTGTTACAGTATTGTTTTCAACATGTTTGACATTGCCAGTGTGTTCCCATATTGCTGTCAGATGTTTTCTCATCAACTAATAACAAATCATATGCATAAATTTTAATTCATCTATCTATATATGAAATGTGTATGGATATATATACCACATAAAAAATGTTACAGACTGAAGTTACTACTCAGATTCTTAATGAATGCAAATGATGTTGAAAATATTAAACTTTGTCACAGATAGTTACTTTTCCTGAAGACAGATTAAAGATCTTTAAAGATAGTTGAATCTTAAAAATAATATTTAATTTCTTGGCAAAGTGCTAGATGAAGATTGTAGCTCTACAGACATTGAGAAATCTGCTAATGTAAGATTTTTTGTATGCATCCTTCTGGTATAAGGGCTCATGTTATAAATTTCTCTGGTTTTCAGTGAAGATGTTCGCGTTCTCTGCAAGCTGGGGGGCTGAATAATTCCTTCCTTGTACAAAACCTTACTAATGTTTTTCAGATTATCTCCCTTGTCTGTAGTCTGTCTTCTTTAACAGAATTTCTGTCAATTTTGGATTAATAATTCATAGTACATAACTTGAGATGCTATTTCTAAGCAAATGTTCTAGAAAGCATTATCTCAAGGAAAATGTGTAATTTTAGTTTGTTGCTAGTGACTTCCTCTTTTGATTACTACAATTCCAAGTGAGATTTTTTTTTTTAATAGACTGTGGGAGTTTGAGGATTCTCTGTTATTGTTGTTTTGTGGGGTTTTTTTCTGTTTTTGTTTTGTTGTTGCTTGAGATTTGATCATGCAGTTTGTGTGGTCAGACATAAACCGACGTTCTCAGACCTTGCAGAAAAACTAAGTGATGTAGGACTAGAGTTTTGCTTAGGGTCTTCCTTTTCCCCACATTTCAATTCTGCTTTAATATAGAGGAAAAGTTAGTAATGTTGTACAAGGTGATTAATTGGGAAGTGCAGAGGTTGATTTAGCAAAGATATAGTATTTCTCATCTCTTGCTTTGCACGTCATCATTAAAAAGTTTCTTCACAAATGTAATGCAGAAAAGTACTTTGGCTGATGGTTGGAGTTAAAAAAAATCTGCAAAATGTTTTTTCCTGTACTAAGGATTATTATTAGGACATTTGTATTTTGAAAATAGTGCTAATTATCAGTGAACTATATTGGAATCAGGTTATCATACACTTTGCACAACCAGTACAAAAGAGAAGGAGGCTCTTTTGTAAAAAAGAAGGCTGAGGAAGGAGTTTAAGGCTCCAAACTTATTATGATTCTTAAATTACATGTGCACTTTTATTTTAGGGTGTATCATATATAGTAAATGATCTGTTGTGAGAACATTCTTCAAGAGGAACAATAATTATAATAATAATGGTACCTTAATTCTAGTTAATGTTCATTGAATAGTATGAGCATGCTAAACTGCAGATTATGCAAGATGTCATCAGTTTACAGTTATGGATGATGCTTTTAAGTTATCTGCCTTTGTTACTACTTTCTTCCACTGTGAAAAGCCTTGCAATATTAAAAGCTATCTTACTTGTCCACCCACAGCTGAATGGCAGTATAAACAGAATAACATTGTAATGTATAATTAACAAATGGAAGGACTCCACTGTGATTTATATTTACAGTTATACAGATTATATTATTATACTGTAGTATTGGTAGGATTATTATTAATACCTGTAGCATTAGGGAGTCAGGCAAATGGATACCATAAGTTGTCTAAAACAGGGTTTTGTAAAAGATGTGCATAAATATATACTACTTATAAATGCAGTTTATAGAGTGTATGACACTGAT